TTCAAAATCGTCACATATGAATACTCATGATAGAGCGATGCACTGCCGAGCTCAATTATTTGCATTAAAACTGCCTCTACCAGGGATCGAACCCACGACCTACCGCATTAAACAAGAGCGTCCACAAATGCTCAGCCTTGGGACTCAACTTCAATGCTGCTAAGTAGAACCTGTGGCAATCCATGCCCTTGAGTGTAGCTTGAAGAACTCACCAACACCAACACGACTATCCAGGAATTCAATCAAGTTTAAGAAATAGCCTTCCTCAGAGTTTGACAACACTGATAAAAATGTTTCTAATATGATGACATCAACATAGGAATGTGTCCCCAGCCATACGTGGAAAATTAAAAATGAAGTCCCCACAGGAACACTATAGACTGCTAATATCTACCCACCTACCTGATCCCATCCTGATGCTGATTTAAATTACAATGCGCTATCGCCAAGTTTGACCAAGCTCTGGCATAGTTCGGCTTCAGCTTCAACGCCTATAATATGATAACAAAGTGATTAAATGAATACTGTCATTCACATTAGATAGGAAATATTCTTTCGATTAGGAAAAGCAACTAATCGACATAGGAACTTCATTTCAAAGTCAACAATGGTTGAGATTATCAAAAATACTATCAACTTTCTATCAACTATACTTGGTTGAATTAAACTCCTAAACTTTCAAATAAACCGGGTATAATATTAACTTTCTTGGTATTTTATTAAAGCCATGGGTAAAATGTTAACTAAAAAAGTAAAACATTAACCAAATGTGTAAAAAATTAATTTGACCTGGAAACGCTGTAGTTCATAAGCCTTCTCATCATGTCTACATTCGATACGTCAATCGGGGGTAGCACGATAGAAGAGGATGCCTCTAACATTCCCTCAGTCTTCTTGGGATTCAACAAGTATGATTGCAGTATTTTGGATCTGGACTCAACCGTATCCTTCCTGAAATCTCGATACCGCGGCACTTGCTGGAGCGCAGTTGAGACTCTCCATTCGGAAAATATTAATAATTAATGTATATATCGGAGTATATTAAGACACTGGTGATGTCCAGTATAAGAATATATGTTTGATTTCCTCAACTGAGCTCAGAAGTTGCCTCACTAATTATAGACGTTAACATACAGATTCGACTAGAAGTGTATAGAAACCAATAAGAGTTCCTCAAGCTTTCCCAAGAATTCTCATATTGTCACCAACACATGTAGTTGACCATGTACATGTTCTTCTTTGAAAAGTGTCGTTCCCGAACCCACCCAGCCTCACCTGATTATATGCCACCAGAGACGCCTCCGACAGTCCCGAATTAGCCAGCGTCGCGCCGAGTTTATTCCACCTATCTCAAGTTTGCGCGAAGGAGTTCCGCCTCCACCTCCCCTACAAAGTCGGGTCTTCCGGTCGCAACGTGGCCGCCCTCATAAAACTCTCCGCCGCCTTAGTGTAGTTCCGGTCGATGTTATAGGCAACCCCAAGAGCCACAGAAGCATCCGCGTCGTTCGGGCCGAGTCCGACCGCCTTCTCCAACAACGCGACGACCTGGAAAGAAATTATCAATTTATAGGGTAAGGAGTTGGATTTTCCTACGTCCTTTTTTAGGTAGTCGTAGTCTAATAGCATCTGGGAGTTCGCAGTACTAGCTTCGACGAGTCCGTGGTATGCTTCGTGGTTCTGGAGCCACTCACTACCAAAGGGAGGCGTGACAACAAAAATGAGGTAAAAACGACATCGGCAGGATTCGAACCTGCGCGGGCTGAGCCCATTGGATTTCAAGTCCAACTCCTTAACCACTCGGACACGATGTCGATATAAAACTCCATATACGTTCCGACCTCACTGCCTCCAACAACCTACCGTAATATCTTCAACGCCCTATACGAGTCCAACTCATTAGTGAGCGACACTCCAAGGGCCAACAAACTGTCCGTGTTGTACGGGTCGACCTCGTGGCCCTTCTCCAAACACGTCTAAGAAAATCAGCGTTCATCTCCACACCAACTCTTCCTGTATTCTCCTCACTATCGCTTCCACATCCATATCGTTTCCAGCGTGCATCAACCCCAACAGTCTCCATCCTTCTGATGAGTCCGGATGCTGTTGGACCTACTCAGTACTATAGCATCATGCAACTACATGAAATAAGATTTTTTCGGGGAAAATTTCAGTGAGTTCGCATTGTTCTCTGTACATTTCCACCCAAATTCGTATATAAACTCCTATAGGAAACTCCTGAGCTCAGTTGAAGAAAGCCGATCTCAACAAGATCGTCGCCATACCTCCGCCTCCAATGCGAGCATCGCTTCCTCGTCTCTCCCTTCTGCAAGCAACCTCAACGCCAACTGCAATGGTGATTCGGAAGACTCCAAATACCTGACCATCCTCAGCTACCAATCAGCTTTGAGAAATATAATTTCCAAGGGTTTGATAACAATGGCGAAAAATGATGTTTCTAATGTGATGGTAACATTTACATTGGAAACTGACTGGTTGAAGAATGTGTTCCTAGCCATACGTGGAAAATTAAAAATGAAGTCCCCACAGGAACATTATAAGTTTCTGTTGCCAATACACAGACGACATCATGCTATAAAATGCCTTACGGATTCTCCGTATTGAACTCGTATGCATCCCTCGCCCTCGTCCAGCCGTCCTGTTGCAACCACCCTTCCTGTTGTAGTTGTTGCCACACGTCATCCATCGGGCCTAACCCACAACACAAAATACTGTCCCCCTCACTGCACCACAATGTGAGCTTACCAAATATCCCACTATTTTCCTCGCGGTTCATCTGCTCCTGTTCCTCCGCAACCTCCTCAGCATGTGCCATCACCGCTGCCGCTTCGTCGTACAGAGCCTCCCAATTCACCGGCTTACCAGTCGAGTCCAAAACCTGAATTTCGTCATCATCTTAGCAACGCCTAATATCACTCCTTACAGAATCACTACACCACGAGCTCGACGATTAAATAGGATCATCACGATTCAATATCAACCATATCGAACATTTTCAAAATGTAAATATATTTTTCAAATAGCAATACTTCCTACACCAGTCAGTATAGGAGTATGGCTGTGAACTCAGCAGCTCCGAAATGAGCGCCCAAGCCCTAGTATATGTACGGGAGCAAATTCACATGTGAAATTGTTTCTGTGAATTTGCCCGTAACACGCACTTCGCGATCACGGCACAAAAACCTCTAAGGATCCTCCCCCGTATGCTCCCACTCCCCCTACTTTATCGTCAGCCAATTTCAAGTCCCCTTTAACAATTTGATCTACGAAATCCACGAATTGACTGTTGGCAAACTTCGCATTGTCCGACGACCCTGAAGATTGCCATAAACGGATACTCTAAAACTCGATCGAGCATACTAATTTTACTATCAAGTGAATTACAACCAATACTGATTAGTTCAACGCATATCACACACTGCAAAACCTTTACGCACATCAGTGTTGGAGGAATATATATTTGCTTTCCTCAGCTGAGCTCAGAAGTTTCCTTGCTTAATTTACACACGAGTTAGGTCAGAAAAGTACGACGCCACCCAAAACTTCTCAAATTTTCCTCATCATCATCAGCATATGTAATATCCCATGCTATCAACCTAGCTAACGAAAACCTTTTCACAGTCTCAAAATATATTCCAGCTCGGAAGTCTACACCCTATTAAGAGGTGAAAGTATACAACAATTTCGATAGGATCACCACCACACATAGTTCACCATGTGCATATTCTCCCATCCACTTACGCATAGTCTCAACCATCCTCTTCGCAGCATCAACATTCACAGCAGTCTCATTCACAGCAGCATTAGTTTCAACACCCCTTTGTTGTGTCACCATCACCGGTGCATGCTGTCGGGGCACATGGACACCCAACGGAGAGTGATAATTGGCTTGGCGATAGAACTAAATACCACAACTTCCCCTCAACCTCATCTCGATAGTCAGCAAGTGTAATAAATTCCCTTCCTATGCCAATTTCCCTTACGCGAATTCGAATGAGCGTCGCCGCAGAATAAAAAACATAACAAAAATATTAATTTTTCGGAATTGACTTGTGACAAAATGCGCTTCCTAAGAATTGATTGATAATATTTTCAAACGCCATCCAGTTTTTATTCACTTGCACTGAGAACCGCCAACACCACCAACTCACCTGGGGAGGCATCGAATGATACACTGCTTGCCGTTGTTGCTGTTGTTGATGCGCAACAGACTCAGTGATCGTCGGACCCATTCTGAATGATAAATTCCAACACCCCTTTCCAAACTTCACAGCTTACATTCTACGAGCCATCCCTTTGGAAGCATCGAACTCTTGTGCCCAGTTAGCAGCGCCATGCGTTGTAACTATAAAATAATCGATCAGAAAATAAACCATTCCATGTCGTATAATTGCAATACTCAAAATTACCCATTATTAGAGAAAAAAGTAATTTATTTTCGCTTCCCTCAAGTGAGCTCAGCAGTTTCCGCGGAAAATTGCAAATATTGGGGTAGAAATGTTCAGAAACCAACAAGAAATTCCTAGAATTTTCACATTGCCACCGACACATGTAGTTGACCATATGCATATTTTCCCATACTGCATCTCCCCCCAGTGTTGCAGTCTTAATTTTATTTTATCAATCCATACCACACCATCCTCTTATCGTAACCCGCTTACTCTCAGTAACAGGATGTGCCTCAATATTCATAAAGCTACTATCCATCGTAGCAGCGCTCGGACCAGCAGCCATATGCCCCGCCAGCCTGTGATCGAGTACGGCTGTCGAGCCCGAGGAAGAGGCTACTTGGGGAGGAGCTCCTGCACGGAAAACTACAACTGATTCATATTACTATTACTACTATTCGCAACTCCTACTACTATTACTCCTATTACTGTTATTACTACTTTTACAACTATTCGTAATTCTTACTGCTATTACTGTTATTGCTACTATTACAACTATTCGTAGTTCTTACTACTATTACTACTGTTACTACTATTATTACTCGTAATTCGCACCACTATTACAACGATTATACTACTCGTAATTCGTACCACTATTACAAAGATTATATTACTCGTAATACTACGATTCTAATTCGAATAGGAAAATATCTTCCCATTTGCGTTACAGAACCTTCAACACTTTACAGACGACTTTTCGCTGAGATGATCATCGAAAATATTGATCGCTAGAATATAATTTCATCTGCATGTTTTCAAACCAGGATAAGCACTTTTCGAGCTGAACACAGAATTCATAAAGCAAATATCAACACGTGTTTACTCTTATACCTCCTAGAGTTAGTCAAACTGAATAACACCGCTCACCGGCTATTCCCTGTCTCTGCGTAGCTACAGCAGCCCTCGTCATCGAGTCGGTGAAGGACTTGAGAGGATTCCGACCCTGCATCGCGACATTTGTCGGCTTCGACGGCTGACCACCACCGGGGTTGTTGAACATCCTTGCAAAAACAACTAATCGAAATTAGTTGAGAAAAAAACAAAAAATTTTCCCTTGAAATTTTCACACTTTGCTGGTAACACGGTGTATTTGAAATTCTTTTCGATATCGTTCCACGTAATAAACATATTTTCACAGGTTCTCTCTATCTATCAGCGTTTGTTGTCTTTACAATACCACCCTTCATCGAACTAATAGTAAACCCAGCTTTCCGTTGCACAATACCGCTGTTAGAAGAGGCCCTATACAAAGTCCAGGTCGATTCCAGCTGCAGTTGATGAGTTGACATGCTATCGTCCCCTCTGGATTTGCATGTGCGGAGTACATCCCCAAAGTAAACCAAGCAGAGTGACAGAAAAACGAAAAGTATTAATAACAAAATTATCATTGGTGAGTGAGTAGTACTAGAATAAGTACTATAACAGTACTAGTATTAAGTTTGGTTGATAACAGTGATTACTATTGATTATCACTAATGACAGAATTATTATTGGTTAGTAAACAGTAATAAGCTTTAGTAACACATCCTGATTCTTTGTCGTGTAACACACTGTGTACCGATTCATACCAGGGCTCAGGCAGCAGTGACTGAGCCTGCAGCTATACCCCTATACCGGCTATTACTCGCCTGGTCCAAGGGGTGCTGCGCAAGAAGAAGAAGAGAAAGAAGTACTATAGCACTGCTATAATAGTAGTACTGGTGATTAATTTGGTTAGTACTTAATATTACATTAATACAAGTGATTAGTATTACATTGGTACTACATAACAGAATTCGTATTGGTAGCAGATTTAGTATCCGTAACAAAACATGTATTAGAGAACGAACATTATTCTCCTATCACCAATAGTAGTAGTAGACTACTACTACTAGTAGTAGTAGTAGTAGTACAAGTGAACAACTCGACGAAAAAAGCACACAACCCGGTAAACTACTAGGCTTTCTCATGATACAACCGAGAACTTCCAGCGAAGATTCTCCGATTGGATTAGGCGAGTTTTGGTTCCTCTCGGTTTTATTGTCGCCATCACAGCTCATCCTAGGCCACCTGTCAACAATATCAGTAAAAACCAACACTAACGTAATCGAGCCAGTCCGGAATTTCCCAATTTTCTACAATTCTACGTCACTCACACACTTCGGGAGAATATTCAATCATTCGATCCGGGATCGACGATCCCCAAAGGCAGAACACAAGACAGGTAATCAACAGAACTTGACTCACCCAAAGGGGTGATTTGAATCCACGAGATCAGTATAAAGTTGCATACTGCGGAACATACCATCTTGATGGCAGAGGAAAACGGAGACGTAAATGTTATTCCTATCAGATATTGTACACAAGTGTCACAGCGCTGCTTCAGAGCGATTGCTCTACAGTCTTGCATCCTCGACCCACGATTTTCCAGTCAGTCCATATTATATGTGATGTTGATGAACTCGACGATTTTTGCGGTCTCAACTTCCAACCAGGCGATCGGATTCGCGTCGCCTCTTTAATACTCCCGCTTTGGAATTAAGACAACGCTCCCCATCTAGTTCAAATTCCCCGTCCCATCTGAACCTTCGACTTTATTTTCAATCTATATACGGCCAATCACCGTGATGCATGTATCGTGCTGCCCATGATCAGCACTCGTACAGCCACGTAACTCTCCCTCAGAAGGCCGCTTCACAATTCGATAATTCTGATGCACTTAAATGCAATGACCATGTCATCAGTTCATAGGCCAAGACTCTCAGCCGCCTTCAATGCGTGTCGCTGCCAGAACTCGCCACCAACGCCGAATTGTGTAAGAATCACTCCTCATACCATTCATAGCAGCGTTGTACTCACATGACGAAGTCACGTTCGCTCCCCGAGACAGGAACCATAATCTTAACCATAATTTTCACAGCTGCTACAACCGCCGTTTAGAGTTGTCGATATAGTATATTACAACAGTTACTGTTGTATGTCGAAATGCATTGTGAAGTACACCGGAGAAAAAATGAATATAACCGCGCATGTGTAATGTATTGTACTACCGAACAGTACAATGCATGCCGTCGTCCGCGCCGGAATATACAACAGTACTATGTATTCTCACGGTATAAATGAGGACACCAGGAACCACGCGGTGAAGTCCATATAGACCGCATCACCAAAACTGTCTTGCAATCGCCGTGATCAACAATACCACAATTCGATCGATTAATACTCATTTTCTGTATTTCCCAACCATATTCACCCACCTCAACTCCTCCACTTCATATTCCTGCAACCCTTCTACCAGTTCCTTGAGCTCGCTAACGTACATACGCCTTATTTTACTCAACTGCAAAAGATATTCATCTTCCACATTTCTGCCTGTTTTCACTCACTTCTCAGGATCCACCTCTCGCGAACTCTTTCCTTTATAATGCAAGCCATCGCATCCTCGACAACTTGACAGTAATGTTAGCCAACATCATTATCCGTCTCAGCGTTGACTCACGAATACCATAAATACAACATTTTTCAACCATAACAGTGCTGGAAAATGCGTTCGCTCTCCTGAGCTGAGCTCCAAAACGAACTCGCGTTGAACTAGAAAAATTGCCAAAAATTTCCTCAGAATTTCGACACATGTAGTTGACCTTCACATATTTTCCCACAGTAGCCATAGTATTTCTGGAAACACTATAACTGCGTTGAAACACCCGCATTGATTGATTCACTAAAACAACACCATTCAGATCGAATGAGAGAAAATTACACCCTCGGAATTCCCGAGATTCTAGTTCGAGAAAAACCCTTTCCTAGTTACCATATATTCTACAGTTTCGATAGATTATTACAGCTCCGATGAAACTTGTCGTAATACCAACCTGCAGGAAAATTCTGTCACGCGCCACGAAGTTACCAATTGTCGAAAACAGTAAATCGATCAAACATATCTGATAAACACTGGCAATTTTCAATGTGGGGTTTTTACTGCCCTCTTTTATCCAATGACAATGATACGCGTCTCGATAACAATAATTCCGAGGATTCCAACCAAATCTCCATACAAGTTTAAGAAACATGGGAGTTTCCATGGAGAAAAACAGTAAAGTTTCCCCCGTGATATGAAAAACAATAGTTTTACAATCGTGTTATCGGTCGCGGAAACATATACGCCTTATAATTCACCACTTCACGTTAAACGGTTGCCGACATTAATGAGAATCGATCCGAAACTATATCGCATAAACATTGCTATGAACATGTGATGTGATAAAGTAACCTTTCGATAGCGACAAGTTGTTCACTATCAGTAATAATACCGGAACAAAAAACGCACACTTGCATAAAAAATTGAACCGCACTGTACCAAACCAACATATATCATATATTTTTCGCGCGCCACAAAATTACCTAACCTACCCTGTGCCCTTCACATATGCATCAAAGCAGCGACAAGTAGATCCTCCACTGTCTGCAGCCTCTTATCACGGTCGTAAGTTTCGATCTGTACTTCTTCTATTTCATCATCAACACTATCAACTGATTCTGTCGAAGTATTGTCATCAGTCGAATCACCAGGTTTCGATCTTGTGTAGAGTTCACCACCACTGACAACCTGAACATTAAATACTATAATAACAGAACTAGTATTAGTAACAGAATTAGTATTATTCCAAGGATGAGTGCTAGTAACAAGATAAGCACTAGTACTTGTCCTGACAGTTATAATAACAGGATCAGTAATAGTAACAGAATCAATACCAGTAACAGGACAAGTACTAGTAACAGGACAAGTACTAGTAACAGGACAAGTACTAGTAACAGGACAAGTACCAGTAACAGGACAAGTACTAGTAACAGGACAAGTACCAGTAACAGGACAAGTACTAGTAACAGGACAAGTACTAGTAACAGGACAAGTACTAGTAACAGGACAAGTACTAGTAACAGGACAAGTACCAGTAACAGGACAAGTACTAGTAACAGGACAAGTACTAGTAACAGGACAAGTACCAGTAACAGGACAAGTACTAGTAACAGGACAAGTACTAGTAACAGAATCAATAATAGTAACAAGTCAGTACCAGTAACAGAATCAATACATATGGAGTTTCCACTCAAACTTTTCCCAAAATCTCAGTTTCTCACTACAAAAATCCCAACATTATCATCACTCATAATTCTCTCGCCGAATCCGAAATTCTTCACAGCGCGCAAGATACCAACAACGCTTACTCTAGTTAACACTCTATGTGCTAACTCCTCAACTTCATCTTTTCTGCCTTCTAGTTCTCTCCGCAACTCTAATGGAATTTCTGACCATACAAAACACATACTCATATTAGAATATATTTTCGCTTTCCTCAGCTGAGCTCATACGAATTCGGGTAAAAGTGTACAGAAACAAATGAAAATTTCCCTAAAAAATCATCAGATTTTTACACTCGCAGATTTGAAAAAAAGAGCTGATGCGTTATTGTATTATAATTATTCGTAAAAATCAATGAAATAATTTCCAAATATTCACACACAGGAATATATCTTCGCTTTTCTCAGCTGAGCTCGGAATTTCCTTCGAAAATCATACAGCTTTGTATACAAACTCGGGCAGCCAACAATTTTTCAAAAATTTCATTAAATTTTTACACTATAACCAACACATGTAGTTGACAATGTGCATATTTTCCAACACTATGACAGTACACTACCAAAACATCTCAAAAACTCAACATTTTCCGAGGTTAACTACAGTGTGTTCGAGGACTAATATGCGTGGCTCGCTCTAACTCTGTAACGGTTTGTGACCGATAATGACCATACATATTGATACATTGCTTACTTACAGACCTCGAAATGTTCGATGTTTCAGATTTCTAATCGTACTAACTTACTACATTCTCTCGTTTCGGACCATCGAAATCGAGCACACTGTATATAATACTTAGCATAAAAACGATTTCTCACAACTGTTTTACGAATATCATTTCATACCATATTAATATCATTCTCCCATACCGAAACAAATCATACAAAGTCAATTTATTCAGCTGTTATAATAACCGTTTTGGCAATAGCAAATTGTCGTCACTAAATTGCATTCACTTGTCACTAAAACTTATATGATATCTGTTAATAACTGTTTATAAAGTTGGCGATCCCTAGCCTATTGACAATTACGTGTGACAACAGCAAATTCCGAAACGAGCGGAGCATATACCACAACAACAGACACTTTCGCGTTGTGCGTGCGTGCAGAATTATTCTGGTGTAATTACGAAGCGTCTGAGGCCACCAGATGGATCAAATGACTTCTCTACATGCCGAGGTTTCCGCAAAACTCGATTCTGCGAACAGCATAAAAACTATTTTTGAGGGAAAAATGTCCAACCCGGGGACCTATGTGAAATTCATTGACCGAATCAATAGACGTGGAGCTCCAAACCTTCCTTACGAAGACCTAGTTGTGTAATCGGCACTAAATTGCATCTCTTTGTCACTAAAACTTATTTGTCTGCATATCGCGTAAAATCACAACAGTAATTCAACCTTCCCGAGAACCTACCGTCATTCGCCGCCAACAACTTCAGCAAGTGCGACGTGATAATCGATTTCGATTCATCACCTAAAATACCCAACGTTTTAAACACAACCAAACGTTTTTACCCCACCTAAAACGGTCTCAGCTACTGTCAGCGGCCCGCCAGTCGAATTGCCAAACTCTAACTCGTATCCACCACTAATCGCATCATGCAACTGAAAAAAACGAATCTTCTCATCAACGCACTGTGAAGATTTTTTCCATAAAACAGTACTAAAATGGAGTTTCACCCTAGTGATATGAAAAACATATTTCATATTTCACTTCGCGGAAAACAATTGTATTATCGCTCGCGCAAACATATACGCCCCATAACACCACTTCACGTTAACCGGGTGAAACTCCAATTCAGAATAAACGATACTCCACATTTGCAACAAAACCAGCGAGTTAATTCCATCTAAACCTATCTCCAAAAATTCATCAAAACTACACAATAAAATTTCGCTTACACTAGTCGGCTGCTCTTTCCTCAACAACACTAAGTTCTACGTTATCACGTGGAAATTATTGAATATACCAGATCAAATTGGAGTTTCACGGGCGGCTATGATATGAAAAACACTAGTGAAAAATATATTTCACGACTACTGCATATCACCACTTCGCGTAAAACAGGTGAAACTGCAATATAATCTCATATATATGTCATCAAGCTACCAATATCATTCGCGACTAGTGACTAAATTTCATCTGTATAAACAATCATAAATCTACTCCCTAACTTCATTAATTCAACAAAATCAGTGAAACCACCCAAAATACACAAAAATTCCCTTACACTCGTCAGCTGCTCTTTCCTCAACAACACGGAATCAACCATAACATGTTTCAGCACAAGGCCACCCTCAGGAACCGGCATTTTAGTCAACAGCATCAACGGTACCAAAACATGACCTGAAAATTCGAAAATTTTTCCACGAAAAAAAGAAAAAAAGCGTTTCTTTTCTCATTATTTTTGTGAAAATGAAAACTTCACTATTTCAATTTCAACATCACACTATGGCATTGTATGAAAATTCCAAGAAAACTAGCATCGTTATACACTTCTACCCGAGTTCGTTCGTGAACTCCTAAGCTCAGCTGAGAAAGGCAAACATATATTCCAACACTGTGTTTATATACATATACACACTGCGAATCAAACACATACGCATATCTATGTTTTCTCAAATTTCAGACTAGTACGACTATACAACGCTTCTAAAATGTTGGTGTCAATCGATTCTTTATAATACTACTCAAAGTTGACTTACAAAAATTAAAGCCGTGAAAAAAAATTTTTCGGATGACGATTTGGTTCACACTGTATATTTACATCTCGTAATTTTTCAGAAAAAACACGATTTAGTATTATTTTTAGTATTATATTATCCATATTGCCATCAGTGTTGAGGGAAAATATGCACATGGTCAACTACATGTGTTGGTGACGATATGAAAATTCTGAGAGGAAATTTTGTGGGTTTTCTTGTTGGCTTTTCAACACTTCTACTCGAATTCATAAACAACTAGTGAGGAAACTCCCGAGCTCAGCTGAGGAAAACGAACATATATTCCAACACTAATTATTATCCATTAAAACTACGGCCATATACCGCAACAACAGCGAATTCCCCTTGCGCATGCGTGCTGTATGTGTGAGTTTGAATTCCAACGGCTACCACGACAACACAGCCTAGTTAGACTCCCAGCTCACAAAAGATCAGCTTTAGCTTTATAAAATTCAATCAACAGGGCGAGATCCCAATATACTCCATCACAAATTGCTGCTTACCAGGCTCATCCAGTTCAATAGCAACTACTCTCACCCCAGCGCCTCGCGACAATACCACAATTTCATCTACCGGACTCAACGGAGCATGACCGAATAAACCATGCGACAAAACCTGAGAAAAAAACGGAAAAAATTTCCTCCCATTGCATAGTTCTGGGTTGCGTGCATATCTCGCTCGCCCAGATATATATGAGTAACAATAATGAATATGACCATTTCACTTTAGTTGCGGAGCGAGCGAAGCGAGCGGAGCGTATTCTCTCAGTTTACTAACACTTTGTGCGTGCGTGCGTGCGTGCGTGCGTGCGTACAAATTATCCAGTTCGATCTAGAGAGGTTATGATCACATGCTATACACCATTCGATAGCTCTCGCTCTGGGGATACTAGGAAAAATACGAAATTAGGGTTCCGCCCGGACCATGTAGATTTCCGTGCAAAAAACATATTTTCGCAGAAAAACGCCAGGCATGGGAATCGAACCCGGATGCCGAGCTCCGCCCCTTCTCCGAGAAGGCCTAGTATGTGATAGATGATTATTATATCTAAGCCGTGTTGAAGCTGCAGTTAGAAACACTACTTAGTTAACAAGAGATAATAAATTTTACGAATTTTCCTCAGAAAAAAAATTGATATTACATCGGAGTTTCACGGGCGGCCCTAGTGATATGAAAAACACTAGTGAAAAATATATTTCACGACTACTGCATATCACCGCGAACAATATCGCGTTTTTCACCACTTCACGTAAAACGGGTTGTGAAACTCCATAAAGTAATTCAAAAGGAGTTTTTCAAAATTTACCCAAGTCGTGGATTTCATTTATTCCACTTTACCGCGTATCGATGTTTCTCAACTGGTGATACCAAAAAATACAAAAATTTAACATATGAAATACGCACATGGTCAGCTACATGTGTTGATGACAATATGAAAATTCTGAAAGAAAATTAAGAGTGAAATTTCTCACTAATTTCTCTACACTTCTACTGCATATAAACAACAAAATTGCTGAGCTCAGCTGAGGAAAGTCAACATATATTCCAAATTAGAACATACGTTGACTTTCCTGAAAGGAAATTTCTAACACTATTATTTCGAAGAGAATCTTAGGTTGCTCACACAAAGATACAAAACAGGTCCCCCAACGTACATCAACAGTCGTCGATCCAATAAGCATTCTACTAGACCAAACAGTCTCCGTTCCTCTCCGCAAAATCACCTACACTCAAATCGATCACCAGGGCGCGCGCGCTTTTCACTCACTATCGCAGCCTGTTGTTTCCTCCTCTTTTTCCCCACTTTTTCCTTTTCTTTCTCCCCTTTAACATTAATTGTCTCCTCGGGAATCGGCGAGTCCAATTCTATCCATATTTTTCGAGCTAACACTGGTTTTGAAAATCGAATATATGTGGGCAGTGACGTTCCTGAGAAAACTAAAATACGAGTAGTGTTGGAGGAGGAATATATGTAATCGCTTTTCTCAGCTGCTGAGCTCAAGCGTTTATATACGCATTCGAATGAGAACTCTCCAGAAAAATTTCTTCATACTTATCATATCGTCACCAACACATGTAGTTGACCATGTGCACATTTACTGGTAAATTTCGGCAAAACGACAACTATGAATCAACTTTGCAAACGTAATCTTGAGTGTGACATTTTTCCCAAGTAATTCAACGAAAATTCGCTGATCAATTTTTAGCATCGAACCAAGTCGAATAATCACAACTTCTAAAATTGTAAATTTTTCCCAAATTATTCAAATTTTACTGAACTTGTACTTTAAAAAAGTTGATATATTTATAGTGAAAGTAAAGTGAATAAAAATTATCGAACTGTCGAGATATGATAAATTATATAATAAATTCAACTTTTTACCAAAAATTACAAAAATTTTAATTAATAAAATTTACCGAAATTTTACCAAGTACTAACAGCAACATTCCTCATCGCACTACCCAAGCTGAAATTTCTTGGAAAAAATCTTCGGAATTTTTCTGGAATTTTCGAAATATTTTCTTATATTTTCTGAAGTATCAACCGCAACATTTCTCATCAAACTATCCATTCATCACTACACTATCAATTCAAAACTGAGATTTCCTGGAAAAAAATTTTGTTATTTTCCTGATTTTTTCTATATATTTTCCCAAGCCTTAACCGCAACATTCCCCATTACTACCTTTCTCCGCCCGATAAGAATCATCCACGAGCCATCTCCCTTGCCACGACGCTACCACACCATCCGGAAGTCCTTGCGAAAATCCCGACGGCACCTACTAAAGATTCATTTCCTGCCCTCAGCGACACCCACAAATGAGGTTCCCTACCCGTCGCCCGACAGCTTGTTGTTTCAAATCTAGCATTTTACCCTCGTACTTCTCAACGGGAGGAGGTAGCAGCAGATCAGGAAGACTCGTCGGATCGAATTCCCACACATCATACGGCATTGCCGCAGCTAACGCATCGAACCCTAAATAAAAAAATTTTTTCCCATAAAATTTTTTTTTCACAAAAAACGAACATGGATCAGATTATTATTTCATTCACACCATCCGTGTAATCATGTCATGTGTGAAACGCGGATGGAATTATTCGTATTAAATAAGTCAATTATTGATACATCAATATCCATGGAGTTTCACGGGCGGCCCTAGTGATATGAAAAACACTAGTGGAAAACATATTTCATGACTACTTCGACATATTTCGCGTTTTTCACCGAGTTTTACACCACTTCACGTAAAACTCCATGATACATACTAATTGTATTATAAACTAGTTCCTCGTTACGAAGGGACGAAGTTCGGTAATATCTAGTGTTCTAGATGACATCGTCTCAACCTGCTGAGCTACTAAAATAAACAAATCTCCAAGCTCTTTACATTTTTATTCTTATTAGAATTTCACTACCAACAGCACGATGCTATTCTCGTTCGAGTCTGCTAGTATTTTCATTTATGCCCACGCACAGACGGCCGAATGAACTGCAATAACAACTCCGCTCTCTTCGCCTGCTGCGCAGTAATTTCTGATTACATTAACAGTACTTAAAGAGCTCAGTTTCATGACCAGATGAGTTTATGCAACTTTCACGACTACAATTAAATTTTCACCATCACAGGGTATCTCACCTGGCGAGTCGCTGATATAATGATCCGGAATAACTCCACCAACTAGCGTCGTTTCCCTGCTAATTTTCTTGGTGTTTCCACCGACCCGTTCGAAGTGGCAAGAAGGACCCGACAAACTACTACATACCTCTCCAAGATCTGATGAAAAAACAGACTTAACGTAAATTGGTGAAAACGCGATGCAAAGTGAATTGTGAGAAATTTTTTCCGTTAGTGTTTTTCAAAAAAATCTATTCTATGAATAAAAAATTGCGCATATCACGACATGGAGTTTTCACCTATTAAAAGAAAATAGTGTGATACTCTGCAAAGAACTAATATTCGCGATATGAAGTGGTTTATATAATATATTTTTTCACCATACCATGGGTGAAACTCCATTGAAAAATTACTATTTTGATTCTAATTTAGTTCATTGGAGTTCCACCCGTCTAACGTGAAGTGGTGTAATACTCCATGAAAATTATAAGACGTATATGTTTCCACGACCGAAAACACAAATTTTTCCGCGAAATATGTTTTTCATATCACTAGGGTGAAACTCCAATATTTTCTTTAAATGCTGAGAGACACCCACATATCGGTGGATCGACAAATCGTTGGTTTTTTTCTCCAGGGCGGCGCAGAAGACATATGTGAAATTTTGGGCGCCTGTGAGGGACTCGTTTCTATTACGATCCTTAAATCGATATCAGAGACTGATAGTAAAACTGCTCTTACGAGGAAGTGAAATTCAGCTCTCACTGAAATGCGTTTTCTATACACAAAACTGCATATGTTTGGTGTCGCTAATTCTGGTACAGATCCTCTACACATTTTATGTTGTGTTTAACAGTTTCAAGTCTTACAGAGTAATTCGAAAACGCCCTTAAATTGAGTAATAAAAAGCCCAAGACCACCCAGCGTGGAATTAACTCCATTAATTTCAATGAAGTGATGGAAAAAATATTAATTTTCGGCGAGGTAAAATTTTACCAAATTTTATTACCTTTTTTCACCAAATTTTTCGTCTCCACGAAAATTCTGGTCCGCATTTTCGTAATCAATATATCGGCTGCATCAGCTGGCAGATTCATAGCTGCTTGTGAACATACCAACAGCAGGAATAATAAAAGCGATTGGAATATCATCGTGATACGAAAAGAAAAACGGTCGAGAAAAACTAATAGACCTGTGTGAGAAAATATGAACATGGTCAACTAGATGTGTTGGTGACAATATGAAAATTGTGGGAAATCCTAGTTGGTTTCTGAGCATTTCTACCAGAATTCGTATGTAAACTCCTATAATTAGTGAGGAAACTTCTGAGCTCAGCTGGGGAAACCCAACATAAATTCCTCCAACACTGATATGCACTTTTCAAAATAGCAAAAAAACTGTATATGCCATTGAAATGATAGATTTCACAAACCGCAGGGGAGATGATTATCAACAGCTTAAAACATTCATACAAGCAAAACCATCGACAAACTATGATAAGGTCAAATGCAAAGTATGGAGGCGCGATGCATTAAGTAGGTTTCGATCGAAATATGGTATCAAATCAGATCGATTTATTCACTATCACTCACTCGAGACACAGCGTGGGAATGTATGTTTGGTTTCCTCAACTGAGCTCGTAAGTTCCCTCACTATATTATGAAAAATTCCGACGATTTTGGGTATAAGTATACAAAAATCAACGAAAATTTCATCAAAACTTCCATACAGATGTAGTTGACCATTTGCATATATTCCCACACTGTCAAGACAACTTCCGGGAACGAAATGGGACAAAACGTGTTTAACATGAAACGCTCAGAGAGCCTCTCGAATGTGTATTCAGCGATTTCGCACTTCCCAGAACCGCGGGATCGTTCAATAAACCGATTTCGAAATCCAGAATCGATTCCAGAATTGCTTATTACACGTATAATACGATGCTAGGATCCACAATCGATTCAATGAACATGGGCAACGTCACTTTGATTTTCGGGCGCGCGCGATTTACATTGTACCGACCTAATTACACATAGGCGTTGTCGTTGTCTATTACTAGATGATACATTTTATCCTATTGGTGAGTCGACAAGGGAAAGTGAGGTAATGCGGCAGGGAGGATCTTTTGTGGAAAACCTGATGGAAAAACCGTCAAAACGCAAAATCACACAATGCATCGCAGAAAACCCGTTTTATTGAAGCACTGTAATGCGAAAGAGTGTTGGAGTAACATATGTATGTTGGAATCCAGTTATGAAGAACCTCAATAGCTGTGGCCCTCAGAAGGGTACTGTGGGAATCGCATTACCATACCCACTAAGAACCCCCCCCCCCTCCCCCGAGGCTGCTGCTTCCAATAGGCAGAACGTCTGATGGAACCAGCCCCTACTAACCACTCTTGTGTAGTAGTATGCAGTATTTACATTCCATCCTTAATATAAAATCTCATTTAAATACATCTGTTTATTATATTCAACATTGTGTGCTGGTCACGAAGAATACACTCTCTTTTTTTCAGGTTGATGAAATGGTATGTGCCTGCTACTGTTCAGGATCAGCAGAGGGACGCCAAAGAGGTGGGAAAAGGTCTATAATAAGTGTCATTCACTTCTCGTCTATGAGGAATTTAATACCAGCTGTTAGTTACCGGTACTTTTCTCACTAAGAAAAGTATTCAAATTCCACAATTTTCGCAGGTATCCAATCTGGTACTCAGAAGAGGCCAAAAATTGTGTAACATTCTGGAGTGGCGAGAGCAGAAGATTGTGTATAGACGGTGAGTATTACAATTATGGGGAGTAGCTTTCATATTAGTCAATGACCATTATGAAAACTATTTCTCTGTTAAAACTGACCAGGGTAATTATAACAATTACTATTAATTATAACAATTACTATTTGACCAGTATGGGGCCGATACCATCTTCTCGGCACTTTCTGATCTGCCTCACTCCAAGATACGCCTCCCTTTATTTCATTTGTTCAATCGATCGAGATGACAACGAGCTGATTGCACTCGAGACGATCCACATGTATGTGGAAATGCTAGACAGATATTTCGGTAATGTCTGTGAGTTGGACGTCATTTTCAACTTTCACAAAGCGTAAGTTGCCTCAGTCAATCCGCGAGTCTATTTGTCCTCATCAGGCAATACATTCTTGATGAAGTGTTGATGTCGGGCGAACTACAGGAATCTTCGAAGCGCGTGGTAAGCTATGTTCTGGAATCTAATACGTTTCATAACAGGAAATACAGAAAACTCGTAGAAAATCCTTGTTTTTCGCGCTCTATGGTATGTCCCGACATGTAATTTCACTGCCATCGTTAATGGCAGCTTCTGTTCAGCCCTCCCCCCTCTAGCTTGGTCAGTGCATCTATGAAATAGGATTCAGGAAAATACATTCAACGCACTGATTGTATGGAATCCCATTTGTCGCTCGACGCGTGTTGATCTTCTAATGGTCGTTGATCTGGTAACAGACTGAGAAAAGTCACTATTTAATATGAGTTGATATACCATGTTGAGAAAATTACTCGTCACAAGTCGTTTTGGGTCGAATTTGTTATGATCTGGAAAGCGCGCGGCAAGTTGATCGAGTTTTCAAGGTCTGTGGTTGTCGTAGGTTCTCCGGGCGATATCAGCCGAGGACGAGTTGGAAGATGAGAAATCGTCGTCATCGTCGAAGCGTCGATGAGTGTTATTTCTGATGATAATACCAACTTTTAGAACAACCTTCTGTGTTGTCAACGTGTGGGAGCACTCAGTGAAGTTGTTACCCCGGGTATGGTTGTCAAGGGTCCCCGATCGAGATCAGGCGCAATATTGCAGGCACTCTCTCTGCGCGATTAACCTATGCCAAACCCCGTCCTTAGCACCCGCGGCGGGTGACCCGCCGAAAATTCGCGAAGTGGGTGAAGGAGCACCAAAGGCTGACTGCTTCTGAGGATGCCGACGGAGAGATTCTCTATTGTTGCTTATTTTACCGGACCTACCCGGAAGCAGGAAAATTGTCTGAGACTCGGACTCTGAATGCAAATTGACACAAGACATAAAGATTTCGTCTGTGGCGGCCCATGTCAAGGACGGGAATCATCCCCAGTCAATCAAACTGGCAACCCCAGAGGGAAACGGTTCCTAGTGGGAGAATCAAGCATCAAGGCTCGAAACTCCGAAGGGTCAAGAACTGATGAGTTATGCTCCTCTTCTCCAATGCGCTGTCTGACTCGCCCGCGCAGAAGTTGGTACTGTCACGTTCGAGTCTCTCAATCATCACTGCAAACTTCTTGGCCGTCTGTTATCGACTAATCACCATGTGATCCGATACAGTGCCTGGGGATTCATAGAAAGCATCGACACTGTTCTCATACGAAATAACGCAAATACCATAACGTAGACGGTCCATACGAAACAGTTCTCTTGGACCTCGTCACCGTCAGCGATGGCATCGCTGCGAGTCGCAGCCTGCGATGCGAAGTGACGACGATCACCGAGATTATCAGGAGGATGGACGCACACAATAATGTCGACATACCCCGGTGTCATTCATGGATTTCACATGGCGGCGCCATGCGCCATGACGGCGCACCCGCGATGGTTCGAAGGGCCCAATTGGCGAGTGCGGTCGAATAGTTATCCCAGTAGTCCTCCGAGATGTTGGCTAGCTTTATAAGTTACAGTGCTTGCCGAGCACTGCTTGGATATCTTTTCTAATCACTGTCGCGTTCATATCCTCCCAGAAGAATCACAGTTCCGCGATATGGCCGACTACGACTTTCCATCGTAAGATATAGATGATTACTCCGACGACATGCAGATGCTCCTCCGACTACTACGTCAACACGGATGTATGATATATGACATACATATATCCTGATACGAATTTTTCGGGTTTCCGAGTTTACATGTATCCTATATGGTAGATATATGACAAGCAAGTATGTGTACGTCTGTATGATACCTCAGCAGATGCTTTAAGTCTTCTTCACTAAGCCAAGAACTCCAAACGATCTAGCGTTGAACATTAGACAAATATCTTGTGTGACTAAGTATGGCTTGTGTTGGGTAAACTGCTGAGTCAAGCACTGACGGGACTCGAGCAGTTAGGCTCTCTAATCCAGAGGATCGTTCCGGCTCCCAACAGAGGGAATCTTTAGTGGAATGTACTTGAAAGAATAGGGAGCCTCGGAGTGACTCCGACGGAGTCGTCGGGACTTCGACTATCAGTGGTTGTTGGAGGGAGGATAATTTTCAATTTGAAATTTCACTTTCTCATTTTAATGAAATTCCACATGGACGACGGCGTTCCTGAAATCACGTATGAGTTTGTGAGGCGTTGCTGCTCTTTAGGTAACAATTGTGTGGCATTCATATACAAACACGCCTCCGACTTGGAGGCTCCGAGGCGAAATAATTTCTTCTCTCGAGCTGGCGGAGT